ATCCGGTTTCTAACAGTTTTATCTGGTTTTAACAGTTTAATCCGGTTCCTAACAGTCTAATGTGTTCTAAATGTAATCTGGTTCTTACAGTTTTGGGTCTGTTTATCTTCCCTCCCAGCGCCATATTGGTTCAGATGTGCAGCACATGGACCGGAAGTCTTCTTCTTCTACTGTCTGCTCAGAAACCGGTTCCGGATCTGTACCGCCACCAGCAGGTACGGATCGCGGCTCGGTCCAAAAATAACGACAATGAAAACGTCCATCAAAACAGTCCGTGCTCAATAATCCAGGTGTATTGTATACCTGGATTATTGAGCACGGACTTTGTTGGTTTTGATCCAGTTTGACTGTCGACGAGGAAGAGGGCCGGCTCCAGAGGAGGGGGCGTGTCAAAGACACCATCTTAGCACCAACATAACTGGTTTGTTCCACTTTGGAGTAAGTGAAATATATACATATATATATATATGTATGTATACATATATATATATATATATATATATATATATATATAGATGTGTGTGTGTGTATATAACAAAACTAAGAGCATGCTGTTTGCAGTACATGTATATACATGTAACTGTCAGATAAACAGTGATGATCTTTCTATTGAAGTTTTACTGAACATATTTCATATTCAAACTGCAGATTTACTACGCAGTTATTTTATTATTTTATTAATTTTTATTGATTTAATTTGTTAATTTTGCATATTCTGCAGGCTGACCTTAAATTGTCCAACAACACCTCAAAACCTGTTTTATGGTGAAAATGATGTTTGTTGCCATGGTGATCAACACAAGGACACAAAGACTCTTTAATCAGCTAAAACCGTTTTGTTAAACTACAACTTCAGCTACTTTTCGTGGGCTCTTATTGTTGTGGACTCACAGCCGCTCTCCAGCTGCTCTCTGTAAACATTTTATTTAAATATTTGTTGAGATTTTCTTGTAAATTTAATTTTTTAACTGTTTGATGGTTAAACTGTGTCAGTGAAACATTTGTGTTGAAAAACTATAAATCCACTTGGTGTGTCATTGTATATTTAATTGAATATAATTGAACATCTTTAAAATGTCCTCCTGTTTGTGAGCCTTACCTTCCTGCCCACTCTCCCCTGCCTGCTGATCCTGACGGGACCTGAGACCAGGCGTGAGCTCAGAGGGACTCCAACGTTTTCTACCTTTTCAATGATCAGACAGAAACAAACAGTTTGATGCATCAAAACTTTAATTCTTTCAGTGCAAGAGCCAAAAAATGGAACGGGGCCGAGCCGGGCCAAGCCAGGTTTATGTATAAATCAGAACTTTGGCATCAAAAAGCAGAGTGGGTTGTGGAGGAAACAGAAGGCCAAAAAACCCAAAGAACCAGAATAAACAGGATCCATGTTCTACTCAAACATCTAAAGTGCTTTATGGTACAAAAACATCAAAGATCAGCAGCACCTCCACATTTTACTGAATAAATACAACATTTAGACAAAATAAATTACAAACAAAGAGCAAAAAGACAGAGGAAGATTCACAAAGATTCAAATCTCTGTCATTAATTCTCGTAACTTTTTATTTTTTCTGATATATTTAGAATATTTACAAACAATAAATATTTTCTCTTTTCTTTCCAAACAATCACAATTCCACAGGAGGAGTCGTGAGAATTCAGGAGTCCGACGAGTTCGCCTGAAGGGTTCTGCAACAAAACCACAGAAGAAGAAAACAGACGGGTCAGAGGTCAAAAATGACTTCAGCAAAGGCAAAGGTCAGAAAAACACAGGGGGTCAGAGGTCAAAGGTCAGAGAAACAAACATGCAGGTGATCAGAGGTCAAAGGTCAGAGAAGCATGCAGGTGATCAGAGGTCAAAGGTCAGGAAAGACTTAACAAAACAACAGGTCAGAAGTGATCCTGTTCCTGGCCCAGCAGGGACTCACCGTGGTCAGAACCTGATGGTGTCACAGCACCCTCCTCAGGCCCAGCAGAGACCTCCACTCCAGGTGAAGTCCAGTCTGGTCTTGTTCCTCCAGGATCCACCTTAAGGAGCGCACCCTCCTCTTCCTCTTCTCACCCTCCCTCTTCCTCCCAGACCTTCCTTTCTTCTTCTTCCTGCCGGGGCCCTTCAGGGGCCCCTCGTATGTCTGAGACTTGTTGGTCTCCTGGGGCAGGTTGGAGTCCTCATCCCCCTCCGGCTGGGAGCTGATGGGGAGGTTTTTGGTTCCTCCGGGGGGTTTGGTGTGTGGGGCAGTGCCGGTGGTGCTGGGGTGGACCCCGGGGAGGCTGACCCCGCCGCTGCCCCCCCCGCCCGTCAGCTGGTTGTGGGTCTCTGCCGTGTGCAGGACTCCCAGGAGCTCATGAAGCCACAGGCGCCTCCGGAAGTCCTGGAGAGTCCGGCTCTTGTCGTGCATCAGCTGGGTGTGCGTCACTGAGCGCTTCCTGCAGAAACAACAGCATCAGACTTTTAGTTCCACCATTAAGATCCAGTTCAGAAAAAGTTCTGGTTCCATCTGACAGATTCAAACCAAAAACTAAACCTTTAAAATCCCACAAAGAAAAAATCTAGCATGAGCTCTCGTTCGTCAGCAGAACCGAATCGGGTCGAACTGAAGCGGCTTTTGTTCATTTTTAGCTGCAGGTCCACAGATGTTCTCCATCTGAAGAAGCAGAACCTTTGGTCCGCAGGCTGCAGCGCCACCTGCAGGTAAGTCCTGCAGTCACACTGATGTTCTGCTCCCAGAGACCAGAACCCGTGGCTCCTGGTTCTGGTGAGGCTGCAGAATCGCAAATGGGCCACACGATAGCGCCATCTGCACAGATTCATGAAGGTTCCGGTCCAGTTTTCAGAGGTTTTTCAGAGATGATGATGGAAGTTCCTCAGCATGAATCATCAGAACTGCCAGCTCTGGTTCTGATCCAAAAGGACGGGCTTTGCTTTGCCTTGGTGTCCCATTGGATCTTAGCTCCAAACCTGCAGGTGCCTGAGATCATCCTCCTTTTTGTCTTCGTCCTCCCTGATGAAGCAGGGAGTTCTGGTTCTGGTTCTGATTTAAAGTGCTGAGTAGTAGAAAAGGTTCTGAAGAACTCCTATGGGTCCTTGGAGCCCCAGATCCAGCTGCTGTTTATCTTCACGCAGATGTTTCTTTTGAGCAGCCTCTGAAACCCGACCCGGGTTCAGTTCTGTTAAAACCCTGACCCGGTTCAGACTGAGTGGGCCCGAACACATGAGAGATGCTGAGTTCAGAACTTTCAGGAGCTTAAACGCAACATTTTTTCTTTTATAAATCCAATAATTCTTTATCTGGGCGCCCAGTTAGAACGAAGAACTGGACCAGTTTAGGTCAAAACTTTATATTTTTAGAGATCCGCTTCAAGAACGTTGAGACTTCAACAAAACATGAGAACATGGAAACGAACGTGTTCAGATTCAAGAACTGGATAACAGATAAAACAAATGTTCTGATTCAATCACAGATAAATATGATCAATTCATCCGATCAGCTCTTCTGTGAACAAAAACAGCTGGAGGTTTAATAAACCGCTGAGTCATCAAACACACAAATCATCTCTATAATACACTGAAATACTGCAGTATTATACTGTAATACACTGAAATACTGCAGTATGATACTATAATACAATGAAATACTGCAGTATGATACTGTAATACACTGAAATACTGCAGTATGATACTATAATACACTGAAATACTGCAGTGTGATACTATAATACACTGTAATACTGCAGTGTGATACTGTAATACACTGAAATACTGCAGTGTGATACTATAATACACTGAAATACTGCAGTATGATACTATAATACACTGAAATACTGCAGTATGATACTATAATACAATGAAATACTGCAGTATGATACTGTAATACACTGAAATACTGCAGTATGATACTATAATACACTGAAATACTGCAGTATGATACTATAATACACTGAAATACTGCAGTGTGATACTATAATACACTGAAATACTGCAGTGTGATACCGTAATACACTGAAATACTGCAGTATGATACCATAATACACTGAAATAATGCAATATGATACTATAATACACTGAAATACTGCAGTGTGA